GTGTGTGTGTGTGTGTGTGTGTGTGTGTGTGTGTGTGTGTGTGTGTGAACGTGAGTGAGGGGTCAGTGAGTGCATCAGACTCAGAAGGCTCAGCAGCTCGATGAAGCTGTGTGACTCCCATTGTCTCAGATCCTGAAAGAATGCAGCAACAATGGTTCCAGACAATCAAAGAGTAGCATTACACACACACACACACACACACACACACACACACACACACATACGCACACTCAGGAGCTAGTTGAAGTTAGCTGTTCCAGTTGACTTGATTGAGTGGAAGCGGTCGGTGTCTGTCTGCTGGCTCATGAGGGTTTGGGTGATGGTCAGTCGGGGTTAATGAGTTTAAACCGACGAGCAGGGAGACTGATGGGACCTACACTCGATGAGATAAGATAATGGTGCTTCTGTGCTCTGCCTTCCCTGTTAATCGTACGATATCGACTCCTTAATGTGCATTTGCATGTTTGACTGTGTAGCTTCTGTGTTTCTGTAGCGTCTCGATTGTAGCCAGAGGGGGATGACTGTGATTTTAATGATCTGAACCCACCAACGCTGATGTTGTTGATGTAAAGCAGATGGTTTCTTTCACCTGTGTTTATTGCTGCATGGTGTCCCTGTCAAATGAGTCGTCAACTAGATTTGGAATTGATGGATTTAGGAGATGGCACTGTGCCACAAGGCGGCTACAATATAAATCATTTTAGTCTGGAATTGGGTCCTAAGAACATTTCTGTGTGTTCTTAATTCATATCATCATGTTCTACGTTTTCTAAAATTATTTTTTATTTATATTAATTATAATATAAATTAATTTATATTATAATTAATATTTTCATTATATTTATATGCAACTAGTTTGCATTGGCTGATACATTTAGCAGGAAAGTCTGACTACACTGTTGGATTTTGAATCAATATAATGTCAAAATTTCCAACGTACAGTATTTCATCTGTTTCCGTTTTTACGATTGTGTTTCGGCAACTTGAAGTACTTGATCTTCTACAACGTGTTTCTGTTGCATTGTCTGTTTGCACTCTTGTGTTTTTTCCCTCTGGTGCTGCATGTTGCAGGTTTGACACAGACCTGATCCTCTGCAATGAGCTGCATGGCGTCGCCACAGAGGGAGGCTATCTAAAGTTCAGCCACACCTCATCTATTGATGTGGTTTATGACGTGATCTGCGACGTTCAGCCTTCAGACGGATCAGAAGTTGAAAATCTCTTTGTTCAGAGAGATGTGTTTTACCGTAATCAGATAAGCTTTTTAACCTCATCACGCTCAGCTCGTTCTAAAACACAACGTTGCTCCCTTCGGAATAGCATTCATTTAAACTTGGTATGCAAACTCGTTAATCTTCCCCGTGGGACTTCATGAGGCCTGCAGTGACTCTTACAGCTAACCGCCACGCTGTTAACACCTTCTGGCTTTCATGTCTTGACGACAGAAACATGGTCTTTTACTTCTGAGGTCCTTGGAACAGATAACGTATCTCACTGCTGTTGTGCAAGTTGTGATAACCCCGGTCTAGACCAGATTCTCCTTTTTAGTGATACGATTTTTTTCCTCCACCTGCAAGAAAGCATGTGGCAATAACATAAAAAAACAACTCTTTTTCTTTATTAGCAACCAAATCAACAACATTAACTGACATTAGCGGCGACTGTTTCACCAAGTTGTTGATTTCTCCGTCAAAAGGAATACCATAGTGTAATCTACAGTTTGTTTATTTGTATTGGTCATTGTCCATCTTTGCATGACTGTATTAGTGGCAGAGACATGACATCACGGTGCTGCCGAGGCTTCAGTCCATGCTTCTCCATCCTCCACACAGTCTGCTGCCTGTGACGCTGCTGGCCTGAAACCATGAAGAGGATTCAAACACGCCGGTGTGACGTTGTGTTTATGACGCTTATTTATGATTCCTCACTCTCCTCTAGTCGAGTTTTTTTCTTCGTGCTGCATTCTTTTCTTATAAATCTGAACATTGCTGCACACTGTGTGGACAAGTATGAACGTGAGCATTGGACAGAACCCAGAGAAAGCCAAACTCCACGTGTGATGTCTCCATATGGTTTGTTGTGCTGCTCTCTTGGACTGACCTTCTGGACTGTCTGTCTGTTTGAGCTTTCAAAAGGCGACTCATTTCAGAGCACATGGCCAGAAAATGAAACCATATCCTTGTGCTTGCATAGTTTGGGCATTCTGCAGGTCTCATGCAGTGTTTGTAGACAGCGTGAGTGACCCCCCGAGACAGATGTTGGGATTGTAGGTTGATTGTTGGAATACATTTTATCTCGTGACGTTATCGTTCGGTCCAAAATCGCTCTTTAAACCAAATTAATGTGAGGAAATGAAAATAATGCTTTCGAGAAAGTAGTTGTATTGATAATATTAGAGTTAAATATCTTAATTTTTGGAGGCTGGAACAATGCAGATAATTTACTTTAGAGAAGAAACACAACGTCCTGGCCTTTTACTGTATTCAGACTGAAGTACATCTCTTGTTTCTCGTTTTGTGTTTCACTGCTGTTAGAAGTGTGATTGTTTCTCTTTCCCTTATTTTCTGATGTCTCTACATTATGTGTGTGCTTGTGTGCCAGTGTTTCTGGGCAGCATCGTAGTTGATTAGAATTCATGGATATTGTTTTTATTGGGGGACCACTGCTGCTTTAGATTGGTTTCATTCATCGCTTGGTTTAGGATGAAGGTTTCTTTGAGTATTTGTTTAAGTCAAGGAAAGCTTCCAGTGAATTAAGAAATAATCTGTTTCTAGTCCACTAAGAACTTCTTTGGTTGAGGACAGCCATACTGTCGAATCGCATGAGGATTTATGACAGATTTATAATAATAAGCATCGACACACCAGCTGGTTTTCAGTGTCACAAAACCAACTGAAGGTGTAACTCTCCTCCTGTCTGTGTTGTTTGTTTCCCGTGCAGGAGCAGCTCGGAGCGGCGTAAGGAGAAGTCTCGGGATGCAGCTCGCTCCAGGCGCAGCAAAGAGACGGAGGTTTTCTATGAGCTCGCTCACCAGCTGCCTTTACCCCACAGCGTTAGCTCTCACCTGGACAAGGCCTCCATCATGAGGCTGGCTATCAGCTCCCTGCGCACACGCAAGGTGCTCGCCACAGGTATGAACACTGCACACACACACACACACACATTCAAATTTCAGTGTTTTGTATTTAAATGTGTTACATAAAGGAAACATACAATCTGTGTGTGTGCGTGGGTGTGTGTGGGTACGTATGTATGACTAATTGTCCAGTAAAGTAGGAAGGTAGTCATCGGACCCTTTCTTTGCACTTCTTCTCCTTCCTCTTGTATAATTTAAAATTAGAAGCTGAGGAAGCTCGATAAAGAAACAGACCTATTGTTCTGGAATTCCTCCGCCGCATCAGTGTCCTGAAAATGAGATCAGAGAACAGCAAAATTAAACAACTGCAGCGGCGTCGGAATACAAACTGTTCATGTTTTTCTCGGCAGAGTTGGGAAACGGGAGAGAAGTTGGTGAAGTGAGGCACGTTGAACACCATTAGACCTCCTCATGGCCCATTAAAAGTCAAACCCGTTCTTCATTTTCTCAGCATATAGTTAAACCTGCATTCAGCTATTTTTTTTTACTAATAACATAGAAATAAACTAAGCCTTTTTTTTTGCTGCATCATTATATCACGTGGAGACAATCAGAACTTGTGGAGTGTATATATAGTCTCACACATGGGTTTGTTTGTTTGGTTTGTAACCTTATCTGATAGTGACATGTGATTTAAAACAAGCTTCTGTGGCATTGAACGATAATAAAGAATTGAACAAGCCTTTGTAATAACAAGCTGTCAGTGCAACAGGAAAGTAATTTGATTAATACGAGAGCTTAACCGTATCTGTAAATCTTTTCACGGCCAACTGACATTTTATTCTACTATTAATGTCTTCTTATGTAACTTTCGGTGGCCTAGTTATTGTCTTTTTATAACCTGCTCTGCAGCGTTTGTTGAGGGAACAGTGATGCATTCAACCACTGCTTCCTTAAACAATGGCGGCCGCTACTTCCTATTTCTTTTGATTTGTAGAGTGTCATCAATCAAAAATAATGTATCAATCAATCTTTATTTATCATGTACCTTTTATACAGTAAGTCGGCTCAAAGTGCTCTACAGTTAAAAGTTGTCAAAATAAAAGTACAAAATAAAAAAGTTTGAGCAAAAGTTTTGAAAGCTCAAAAATAAATCAGAATGACAGTAAAAATGTGTGAGTGTGAGAAGAATTAGATTTTAGTAAGTCATGTATACAAATTCATTAGTCACTGTATTGGATGTGGCACGTCCTGATAGTACACTATACAATATACTTGATATATACATTATACTTATTATAAACAATTCTGTGTATATATGTGTGTGTGTGTGTGTATATTTGCTCAAAATATTTTTGTGAACATAACAAAAGCAGAGCAGTTTGCATAATGTTTACGTTTTCCACATTAACAGTGCAAAGTTCTGTGTTGCGTTAAAGGGTCAGTGCCCCCAAATTACAAAAACACCACAAAAACAAAATATGTTATCTAGCTATGCAGTTAGTTTCAATTTCATGTTCCAAGATTTTGAGATATCCGCCCCTGAAACTTCAGCTGCCACCGTAACAGCATGAAGGTAAATTAAACTTTCAAATACAAGAAAAACATTTCTGGAAACAGTTCACGGAATAATCCACAAATCTTCCTGTGAACTGTAACCCTTTAAATTCAGCATCAAAAAGGGGAAAACAAAAATCCTGGTAATCAGACATGCTCTTGATAGGATAGAAGAGATGAGTACGAAGGAGGAGTAGGGATGGAGGCGAGGAAGATGTAGTTGCTTCGGAGGAGTTAAGGTAATGAGAGGAGGAAAAGCAGAGGAGGAGGACGATGCAGCAGCAGATAGAGTGTTATCAGGCCGGTCTGATTGCTCCGCGATGGAAGGAGAGATTGGAGAGGAAACACGGAGCTCTGCCCATCGTTCAGCTGATGCTGGCATCACTCCCGCTAGCCATAACACCCAGCTGCCTTGGCGCCAAACATGCACACGCTCTCCTGCACACACAAATACTGTACATGCACCCGAGAATGTGAGCTCAGTTGTGACCCGAAGAACAGCGATGATTGTGATACTCAAACGCCGATTTGGGCTATAGTGTTACTTACAATATTGATTATTAGCTTGGTTGCAATAATATGAGCACATCTGATTCATGGTCCCAAGTTGACACAGTTTGTAGTTCTTTCGCTAACGATTTAGTGGCTCACAGGTTGTTTCATAACGTTATTTAGCGACATTGAAATCTTTATTCTCTTAAATAAGTGTAGTGCAGATCAGAGAGCACATGATGTTAACAGGGTTTTCTCTGACAGGTTTATTACGAGTTATATAACATAAAGTTTGGGTTTCAAACCGTTATGAGAGCAGGAGCAGGAATCTCAAACTGAGAAAATAAAAACAGAAAAGAAAACAATAAATGCCAGCATAAATCAGTGAACTCACATACTACTATCCCAAGTCACATGCTGTGAGAGTCTCACATGTCACTTCATTCTGTCCAGCGTCACAGAAGAAATGTCAGAGGAAGTGATTATCTGAACAGCAGCTGTCCCTATCAGACTCTTTTCTTTTTTTTTTTCTGCAGCCTTTTATTTTGAAACAAGGGCGGTTATGCAACCAAAGTGCAACTCAGTTCAAATGGCTGGTAATCACAGCTAAGTATTTAGGCCAAAGGTGCCGCCGGTCTTTGGACTGGGTCTCCGAGAGTCTCCCCAGCTCCCCGGGGCCCGTGAAAAAGCTCTGGGGGTTAAGGCTATCTGGGCCCGGCTCCAAACTCGAGCCCCAGGCCTCGGCGGGAGCCTCGAGAGTGGGTCTCTCTTATCTCAGGGAAGCACACTGGAGAAATTGCAAGCACCTCCGCCCCCATCGGCTACTGGGCTTTTGTTCAGAGTGAAGCCACCGTCCATACACACACACATACACACACACACTCGTTCTTGAGCGGGCGCCAGTTTGTATTAATTAGCTCATCAACGAGACATTGTTGACACACTGGAGTCTCAGTGTATAAATGTTTGGATACCGCACTGTACATATTTGAGCATAATTGCACAATGTGTGAGTTATGTCGTCAAAGTGCTTGTGCAGTTTTGGGTGTAATTTGTCGGGGTCGCGGGTCAGGAGCGGCCTGAGACGCAGGAAGAAGCTGCACTGGTTTGTTTTGGCACTGAGCCAAAGCTTCAAGAAGATAAACGAGCCTGATGCGCGCAAACACACACACACACACACACCACACACACACACACACACACGTAGAAATACACGTGAATTTATAATGAGAGAAACGACTTTTGAGTGTAACCCACCTTGTTCTCTGTCTCTCCCTCCAGGCTGTAGCAGCAGCAGCAGCAGCAGCAGCAGCAGCAGCAGCAGCAGCACCAGCAGCAGTGGCGGTGACGATGGCGGTGACGATGACGGACAGATGGACAGTCTGTACCTGAAGTCTCTGGAGGGCTTCATCACCATGGTAACATCCGACGGCGACATGATATTCCTGTCCGAGAACATCAGCAAATTCATGGGGCTCACGCAGGTACAACACCATTACTCTGTGACGTAACTCTTAGGATTAGAACAAAAACAGACACGTGCAGACGGGCATTCGTTCAATAATAAACACGAGGCTGTACACGTGAGTCACTTCACTCTGATGTCCGCTCTACCAGAGTCGGTGGTGTTTGTTTTTGGGCACAACATGTACAAAAAAAACCACTCGGTACACACTGTCAGCAACACGACAGGTGGACATAACAAAAAAAAAATCAATAGAGACAAGAAATGTATTTTTCAGACATGAAGACAAAACGCAGCAGTTTTAAATTGATTTCAATATTATAACTTGAAGATTTTATTTGGTTTTTATGGTAAATGCACATCAGACAACAAGGCCCTTTATTCTACCAGCTGTTATTATTAGCCACAGATCATTATCATATTACAAAATTCAATCTAATCCTTTTTTTTTTCTCCAAGTCAATTACCAACTTTGTTCATGAAATTAATTGGATTTAATTTAATTCTGTCATAAACGTCACAAACAAATATGAGGAGTAGAAAACGAAAAACTTGTACATGGACGTAGACATGAAACTACAAGTAACGAGATTAAAAACACCAAATAACTGGTCCTGTCCAGTTAATTATTGCAGGTGTTACTCATCATACAAATAGTACATTTACTAACATTCAAACATCTCTCCCTTTTCCTGTAATAGAAAGTATTTCCACCTGTTTTGTGAAAGAAATGATTTGTGTGTATTTTATTATATTAAAAGATGGCAAACAGGAAGGCATTAATCCAGACCGACAGTCAGAGTCGGACACATGGATGTAAGCTGTCAGGCAGACGAGCTTGTTGTGTTTGGGGTGAAATACCTCTCATGCCAGCAGTGTGTGTGTGTTCAGGCCGAAGCCTGAGGTTCAACTCTAAACACCCTCCACGGTTTTGTATTCTCTGGCAGCGGTTTGAAAAGCAGATCACAGTAGAGGTGAAGTGTACTGTAATATATGGAGCAATATCTCTTCTTTTCTTGATGTTCTTTAGTGTCTGTAGTGATGAGTTTCTGTTTGTTTTGAAGCTTTTGAGTGACACACTTTTTTTTATTTGTTTAATCACGTTCACTGTCATTCCTCACACTCACAACCCAGTTCTTCTTCTTCTGTTTATTCCAAACAAACCACGGTTGCTGCTGCCAGAAATGAAACACGCAGCTTGTCTTAAGCCCGATGAGTGTTGAGACCAGCTACGAAAAGAAAAATTAGAAGAGAATAATTAGAAAATGTATTTATATATTTAAAAAAATGTTTTTCTACTGCAGGTTGACCTCACTGGTCACAGCATCTTTGACTTCACACATCCATGTGACCACGAGGAGATCCGAGAAAATCTCAGCCTGAAGACATCTGGTTAGCGCACACACACACACACACACACACACACACACAGCTGTTATCCTCATTCTTGTTTAACAATTTTCCACAACCACATCTCACCGTCATTTTAATTTGTAATTCATTGATTGAGGAAATGTCCTCTGGGGACCATGAATATCCACACTGAGCTTCACGGCAATCTCGTCAGCAGTTGTCTTATCTTGCTCTTGACCGAAATATTTAATGAACACCGTGACGTCCGTATCCTTTGAGCTTTTGGGGCCCTTATATCACCGTTCAGCACCCTCGCTTCTGTTTGTGGGACAGAAATTAATCTGAGAAAAACAAGTCAAAAATCATACATGTATGGTGTTATGTAATATTATCTCTCATGAACAAGTGTCCAGAACAAATATGAGAACAGAAGGTCAGAGACCGTACAGAGAGGAACTAAAGGGAGATACAGTAGAGGTGTGTGTGTGTGTGCGTGTGCGTGTGTCTGTGTGTGCGTGTGTCTGTGTGTGCAGAGATGAGGGAAAGATTATGAGAGAGGGGAACAGGGCATTATCTGCAGCAGATAGTGAACATGGTGTGTTACAGTGTCCGTAGTGGAAAGTCACACACAAGATACAAAGCAAGATAAAAGTAAGTAAGAAGTTCCAGAATTGTTGCATCTCTCAGAAAAGCAACATTGATACAACTGTGTAACACTGGAAGTGAATCAGTGTGTAACTGACCAACGTTTATATGAGAAAATAATGCATACACACACACACACACACACACACACACACACACTCCCTAAACTGCGGTTGATAACTCTTATCAGCAGTGGTCACAAAACACACAAGTGGATTAATACCGTATATTTAATAGTCCCTTTAACATACACAAAACCACACTTCAACACACACACACTTAAACACACACGCACACACTTCATCTCCAGAGAGGATGAGAGAAGGTTTGTTTTTTTTCCAATCGTTTGTTTTGTTGAAGTGTAACTACCTAAAGATAATGACACACTTGTGAGTGTGGACATCGACCAAAAGACACACTTCGCTCTGTGACTGCAGCTCCGAGACTGAACTCTGACCTTGTGATGTAACAGCTTGGCCCAATTTCACGTCCTGTGTGTGTGTGTGTGTGTGTGTGTGTGTGTGTGTGTGTGTGTGTGT